GCGTGAAATAGATAACGAACTTAAATAATCACAAGGGATGTAACCCTAAGCTATCAATGCTGCGTAGGTGCTAGCAAGCAAGTGTGACGACAAAAACTAAAACAGAAAATAAATAGGCACGAAACTCCTATTAGCGCATTCGCGACTATACTCCACAGGCTGCATGTGCTGCGTGAGACTAAACCGACGCGCGACTTGACTACTATCCGTATTTGTAAATGGTCCATTATAGGTATTGGAGCTATTATATGGACATAGGAATGTCTTAAATGTTTTGCGACATTTGCTTACTTTAATGCTGTAGCAACATAATAACCGCAAGTAATGCTTTTAACTCGATTGCCACATTTAATGAGATGTTATTGGCTAACATCTACTTCATAGATACAAGAAAAGCAGGTGTGTCTTTTCTGATAGATATGTATTCTCTATTTCAAAAGAAAATTCGGGCTTCCTAATGGTAATGAATACAAACAGCACTAACGAGATGTCTACACACGACAAATAAAATTTGAATTGAATATGATACTATGTAATTCTCAAAGAAGATCCCAGCATCTTTCTTTTATCTCCACGTATTATATTATCGCAACGAGTACGTAAATATGTCGCGCTTAAAATTCAGTCGCAGCTTAAATTGAATTTAACTCGATCCACGACCTGCCAACTTATCGAATATAAATTCACTTAATAATCGTTACCAATTACGTGAGCGTTCGGCCTCGTACTATACTATAAATCTTTGCAGAAATGCTGCAGCAGCCGATCACTGCGAAGGATTAACATCTTTTTGCGGTCGCATGTAAGGGAGAAAATGAACAGTCAACGTAATGTTGATTGGTCTTTTTCGTGTGAGATAGGAACACTCATGAGCCGCGCCGGCCGGTCCGCCACGCCGGCGGCACCATAAGAAATGCTGAATGTTAGGAAACCGGCGCTGACAAACTGTGAACAACCAAGTGTTTTTGGCTTTAATGTTTGACAACTATGTTATATACAACAGCTATAGGGACATAATATTATTTTGATTCTAAGTACATTCTTGTATACTTAATATTATTCCTTCCCAAAAAAATATTATATGTTATGTAATCAGTTATATTTAATTAGAGTTTATTTTAAAGACGAAAGATTGATTTTTTTTGACATATAAATTCTGTATAAAATTTCTTTCGTTTAATATATATCTAAAATAATAAATTGAGATTCCTACAATGATTTCATTAATTAGAACTCGTGTACTATACATATTTATATAGGAAAAGGATTAGTTAGGACCTCAAAACATGTATCAACTACTATTTTAATATTAAGTATTTATTGCACGCTAAAAGCAAGCAAGAACCACTGTCTTGTTTGACCTTCCGCGCTGCAATTTGACTCGACGTTGCTTCTGCCGCAGCCAAGCTCGATTGTCTGTCACAGTCAAGTTCATGTCCCCGATCTTCGAAACAATATTGCTCAATGTTTCACACTGTACCACTAAGTTTGCAAGTGTACACCTTTGCACTCAATTCCTATTTCCTATAATGGAGTTTTGTAACTTTCAATAATGTAGACGCCATTATTAATAGATATCATCTTTGTGTAACCAGAACGCCACTTTACAACAATACCTCGTTACAAATGTCGAAACAGTTCAATCACGTTGAATGCCTGTTCTCAATCTATGTATGAAACGTCGTTCGTTTTTTTTTCTTGTTCATAACTTAAGATCCTAGTACACCATCATTATAAAGTATCGTCTGTTTTCGACATTTGGCACGGGGCGATGACCCGAACAATCAACTTTACTTACAATGAAAATAATTGATTCTTTGAGTTGACTAAGATAGTTTTGTAGTTATGATGTATTTTGTTCTAAATTAGATTCTTCTGTATTTCTGAATCAAGGTTTGATAATTTAATAAATGAATGTGAGCTTACACAAACAGCAAAAGTTTTTGAAACCGTAATAGTGAAGTAATAAATTGATCTCTGTATTTTTAGTTGTTATCCCACCGTTTTTCAGTCTATTTTTCAAGCACCGATTGAGTTTTCTATAGATATTATTTGAATAAACTGATAGTAACATTAAGTTGACAATTGAGAGCTGGTAAGTAGCAAAAGGAATGAAGGATAATTAAGTGGAATACAGCGTTGTCGTGTTTGAGTTCGTGATTTATTATTGACTGATGTTAATATTATGACCAATTTTTTTTCATTTTATGAATTATATATATATTCAGTGTTATGGACAATTATATTTCATAAGGTTGGTAAAATAAGTTCATAAATATTTTATAAGCATACATACATACATACATACATAAAAATTATTTAGTAAATAATATGCCGTTACCACTCTTTACTCATGACGTCTAAAATGTTCTAATATGTAAGTATAGGTTGAATGGCCAATATTAACGCCACACAAAAAATTGTTTACATGTACCGAAGCATGAGAAGAGCCTCTTATACAATTCTCGTATTATTATTTTAGTTTGGTACTTGGTATGTACAGAAGTACAGACCTTGTACAATTTGTTTAATCATATTTATTAACTTAACGGCATCACCTCTGTGAATACGTGCAGAACGAATATAGGCATGAATAATAGTAATCGTAATACCTAGCATATGATAGAAGTAACATTTTGTGTTTGTTTGGTGGTTGCTGTCAGATATAAATCTCCGCTGATCACGAGGTCGTTAATGTGATAGTCGTGTCGGTGCCGATTAGGGTTGTGAGATGCCCGGAAAGTCCGGGACAGTAACAGACATAATGTTCTGTAGTGAACACGTTTATTTTTAGAATGTAATGCAAAATGCTTTCTAAATACATCAAAATATATTTATATTTTAAGAAGGCACGACAACTAACTTTCTATTAAAAATAAATGTACCATTTATGGGTAGATGTATAGATTCATTACATATATTATTATATATTATTTTAACACACAATTTGCATTTTTCCATCTATTTATTTATTTAAACTTTATTGAATTAATATAACTTAATTCTATTGGATCCAAACCCCCCCCCTCTTCCTAAATAGCCTGGATATTATATTAGTTTTCATGGCAACCCTAGCTACGACGTACCGTTACACTATTGTCGATTCAAATACACCGAGCTTTCTTATTTGTTTGATGCCATTCTATGATTTACTCACTAGCTGTAAAACGGATGAATTGTATTGCATTCATAGTCTTCAATAATATGAATAAGTATGAATTGTTAATGAAAATATAATGTGGTTGGTCAATACACTTTAAATAGTGAAACTACCTTCGTAAACCATGGCGTCATCATACTCACCATAATTTATAAAAAAGTGTAGTTTTATATAAAAAAAATGTCTACCACCACGGCAGGCGTCTGTGGGGTTGTTTCCGTAGTACACATTTGATATGCGAGTGCTGATAAGGTAGGCCGCCACACGACACTTGCTAAACCCCTTCTAGTGGCGAGGGTTGCTCGCCCTTCCGTCTTATTGATTAGCACCCTCGGAAAATTGACTTCATAGTAAAATAACACGCATCGTGATTACTTGATACACTCCATTTCCTACTAAAATATGAAATGTGTCGTTCACGACATGCCTTATGAGATATTTTTTGTAAATACTTGTTACATTTTTACATACATGTTAAACATGATATTTCACAAAACAGATCTTAATTTGTATGAGCTCTTTCGTCTGTTATATTAAGCCTTAAAACTACTCGTGATACAATCTATATTCAACCCAAATTTCATTAGGATCCATTCAACCGTTTAGTCAAGGTTATCGTTAACAGATAGCGTAACTTTCATGTTTATCCATAATAAGAAGATTTTATTATATGTATGATACGATTGGTTACGTTCGTCGGGGTAATCATAAGCCCATTCTTACACAAAGTAAATCCTAACCAAAGTAATTACTGCAATCTTTCTGTGTAGTCAATTCAAATGCGTGCATGTTGTATATCACTTGCTTTCATTGTACGATCGTGAGTCGTGAGTTGTGCATTCATTCTTAAAAAGGCAACTCAGGTCTAGAAGGACGAATAAATGCTCGCGTGCTCTACATTACTATTGTTAGCATATTACAAGACGATTAGACTAATTATATTAATAGTGTTATCACGTTTTCATTAGAATATTTCGTTTTTGGCTATATTCAACTAGTGAACATGTAAATAATAGTGGGACCGGTGATAAATTCATTATTTTAGTCTTACAACTGATCATAACATTTTATGTGAAACGGCACATGAGATATGAATGACTAGTTATATGTGTAAAGGTATTGCGGTCAGTGAGAAATCTTTGCGACACTACATCGTTGGTTGCGCCAAATCTATCACGAGACTGAATGTGTTACAAATGCACTTATTTATGAAGTATACACATGTAATACATATATTGACTAGCTTATGCCCGCGACTTTGTTCGCGTGGTATTTGTTATAACTTCGATTAACATTTTTAACCTTATTTTTAGTGACGACTTTTATTGATATAACAATTTTATGATACAAAACTTACTTCCATTATATTGCAAGAAAATGACTAACCTTACAAAATTTAACCTTTTATTTTGTTCAAAGTAAATTGGTAAACAATATTTATTTATTAAGGTGTCTATGTCTAATAAATTGAAAATCACGTACATGAGCAAATATTGTGATGCACGTTTCTCGTGTTATTTATTAAGTAATCGTTTAGTGAGTGTACTTAGCTAAGTAAGTATGTCTTAACAGAAGTTTTAAAGTTATTTAAAACGAACTCCAGAATATTGTAGAATTTTATACCTATTACCATAACACCTATTGACTTTCTAAATTAGATTTAGGAATTGAAAGTTTTCTTAATAATCATACGTTAAAAATAGCCTACTTTATGATAATTTGATAACAATATATTTAATTTTAGTGTTCAGATTTTTCAAATATGAAAACTTTAGATGTAGACATAATTAATGTAAAGTTTATTATATTTTTATAAAAATATATATATATTTTGTTACAGTTTGCGTCCCCTGCAGCTGAGAGCGTAGCTTGTGGGAGTAGTACGTCTTCATCGACATCTTCGTCGTCATCGTCGTCATCATCGTCATCGTCATCGTCGTCCGACTCTGACACTGCGGACGCTGCCGGTGCTTCTACTCACGCCTCTGCTGACGATTCCAGTGCTGCACTCGCCGCTGTTTGCCAATTACAGGTAGGCTTTATTATCTGACCGCTGTTTACTACTAAAAAAGAATGGTGTAAAAGTGACGATTTTTACAATGATGGTTAATATATTTTAAGGTCATCGACGATGCGGACCTTGCAGAATTATTTCCAGAACAAACACCTAGCGCGTCTGCACAACAGTCCAATTTCAATAATTTCTCCGTGCACAATGCATCGCCTGAAAATGATGATAAGTCTATTGCTGATAATGGTGAGTGGAAATACTACAAATTATGCTATGAATTCCAGTGCGGCTTTGCAATATATCATTATTTATACTATTATGTTTTTCAGGAGATGGGTCGAGTAGTGAAATGGAACTCACGCCCCAATTAGTGACAGCTGCAATTCAGAGAGCTACAGCAGATTCATCGGGTTCAGAAAATGAGTGTTCTAACTCGGAAGTTGGCCATCAGAGTACTACGCATTATGCGTCTAGTCTATTGCAACAATTTGAAGCACAAACGCAACTACTGAGTAGTACAACACCTTTAGCAAATATCAACACCACAGCGTCGACGATGAACTGCGGACTACATTCAGATATAGAAGGTGTTGCAACAATCAATGATTGTGTACTTGGACAAATAAACAATTTACCTGAAATTGCACCAATCGCACCAAATTTTTTAGCTGCCGGTCAACATCTAAGTCCACAACAAACGGAAGAACTTACTCAAATAAATAAAGATCTTGAAGAAATTACATCGGTTACAGAGGGAATATCAATACCAAATCCTAGTTTAGAAGATTGTGTCGACAACAACGATTTTATGAATTTGGAAATGGCCCAAGGTGGCTCTGATTTGGGAAATGCAAATGATATACTGAAAAGTTCTCCATTAACTGTAAGCAGCACTGATATGAACAGTCAAATTGATGGACAAAAATTTGATACTATTAGTACCAATTCCGTTGAATCTCAAGAAGATGTTAAAAACGTAATAGTGGATTCCAGAAGAAAAAGAGGAAGGCCGCGTAAAGTAAAAAAGGACGAAGAGCATTTTCGTAACAAAAAAATGGAATCTCAGAGAGAAGACAAATCTGTTGTAAATGTAATAAATTTTCATAATAATAATGAACCACCTAATGTATCACCAGATTCAGGTATTTTATCAAATCATAATTCACCTACACAATCACCATTACGGCGGCATGATGACGAAGAAAGTCACAATAATAGAATAGTTAGAAAATCTATTCAAAAAGAAAACAACACAAGAGAAAGGAGAGCTGTTAGATCAAAATCTAAAAGCAAAAGTAGAATTCAAAATAGATCTGATTCTAGTGATTGTGATTATCAAAAAAAGAGGATAGAAAATGAGGTAAAACATATAAAAACGGAAGCTCCTTCACCTGTTCCATTGAAACAAGAACAAAACAGATTTGAAAAATCAAAGAAAAATGATCAAAAATTGGATATAGCTGCTTTAGATAGAATGTTATATGCAACTGATAGAGTTTTGTATCCACCTCGAAAAAAAGTTGGTCGCAAACCACAAACTAAAACGAAAGCAGCTTCTAAAGCAACACAAAAAACTCTAAAAGATAAAAATCAATATGACTCTGGGGATAGTGATGAAGAGTCGATGCCCTCTAATAGGTCTGTTTTATCAGGAGTCTATGCTAAAAGAAAGGAACTAAATAGTAAATTAGCAAATTTGCCCAAGAAGAATACAAAAACTTTCACCAATACATGGAGAGAAAATCAGAGTGAAAATGAGGCTGCTGCAGATGATCCACTTGATCCAACATGGAAACAGATTGATCTTAATCCTAAATACAAAGATATATTATCTGGTTATAAAAGTGATCACGAATTTAAACCTTACAAAAGTTGCAGCCGATTAATCGAATCAGGGTATAAAAGTGATTATGGGTGCAGGTCTGGATATAAAAGTGATTATTATCGTTCTGGTTACAAAAGTGATCACAAATCTGGTTACAAAAGCGATAAATCTGGATATAAAACTGATTATAGTGTACGAAGTATGCGACGACGCATGCGAAAACTAAAGAAAACTAGATCTGTACGAGATAGATCATATTATAAAAACCAAAAACATTTCGTATCTGAACAGGAAATTTTACTGATAACAAATAAAACATTTAGCAGTTTAACTTTGGGACATAGTTCGAGTGATTCGGAGTGTGAAAGTTATTTGCGAAAACCCAGTGCTAGCCCGAAATATATAAGTGTTTGCACAAAATATCCATTACCATCAAAATATGATTTTGGGTTTACAAAAACAAACAAAAAGCAGTTGTTGAGATTAAATTCATCAGATCCATTTGCACCAGGTCCTGTATTCAGTGGGCTACAGCGACCGGTAACGACTTATAACATTTTTAAAGTTAGTCATAATAATAATAATACATTACTTAAATCTCCTACAAAAGCTAGTTATATTGGAAGTCCGTTGCCAGCCTTGAAGCCTGTATTCACTCATAAATTTGGTTCATCGCCCATTTGTACTGTTGCTAAACTATCAGGATCAAAAAGAGATAACGATCCTCATTCTAGACACTTTGCAAGAAATTTCACTCCAAAAAATCGCAAACAGTCGAAGCATGGAAGTACTTTATTTTCGAGTACCACTAAGAAGGAAAATGTTCCAAAACCACTTCCAAATATTTTTGAAAAAGCAAAAAATTGCTATATCCCTCACAAGTCATTATCAAGAAATGTTTTCTTAAATTTTAAGAAACCTAATATAAGACCGTCCTTTCATATCAAGAGACATAGAAGGACAGTGGTGCTGGCACCACCAAAAATTAATTTAAAGCCTATTGAGAGGCCATCCCGTTTTACAGTGAAGACAGAAAATAGACATCATAGACACAGAAGCAAAAAACGACATCGTTCAAGATCTGTATCGAAATGTCGCGAGTCATATACGAAAGTAGTTGATTTAGTAGACCAGAAATTCTCCCAAGATATGGAGAGTTTAGTATCAAATTTCATCAAAATATGTCAGATTGCTCCAAAAATTATTACCAACGTGGCGCAAAATCAAATAAAAAATTTAGAAAAACCAACCGATTCACCGTCTACTAAAGTAGTGAAAAGGGGATCTAAAAAACGGAAAACTTCAGATAATCAAGAAATTGCCACCCCTACTTCAAAACGGAGGCATAAAAAACAATTGACAGAATCACAAAGTAAGGGAGGTAAGGATACAAATGAGCATAAACTACCCCTTAAAAAGAGACACTATCATATTAATTCTTCTACAAGTAATAGTTTGAGTCTTAGTTTAGTTACGGCTGAATTTGATGAGAATACTAAGTATGAAAATAGTCCTGAAAATTTTTTATGTACTGAAACAGACTGTATGGGAGAAATTACTAATAATTTATCAGATGAGTCTCCCAAATTGAAAAGTTTACATGAGAAAGGTAAAAAAGTTAATGAACATTCAAAAAGTAATATCCAGGTAAATAATGTCTCTGAAACAAAAAATAATGACACAAATAAAATTGTAAAACCGACAGTAGCTACAATGACGGAACCAACAAAGATTGCCGCTGAAAGTATTAACAACAGCGCTACTAAACACCAGTCTCCTAATCGACATAATACAACTGATGATGAATCATCAAATAAAAAGCGGACAACAGAACAATCTGAATTATCAAAAAAAATATTGGAAACCTCTGAAAAACTAAAAGCTGTCGACAAAATGGTACAAGATTTGGAGAAATCATTGCCAAAAACAAAAGAATTTGATGTTAAGATAGAAACATCAAAACAAGATGCTCATAAAGTGTCATCACCAAGATCCGAAACAAAATCGTCGCCTATGAGAAATTCTGCTCCAATTGTTACTCCTAAGAAAAGACATAGGCTAGAAGCAGATAAAGTTATGTCACACTCAAGCTTAGATCAAGTGGTACAATCCTTATCCAAAAAATTATCAGAAGAAAAACCCAGTAATGTAATTAACAAAGATAGCAACATGAATAACAGCCTTAAAGGAGATATTAAAGAAGCTGAAACTGCTGATTCAATCTCACCCAGTAACTATTTGCCATTAAATAATACAGCTACAGCCGATCCCTTGAAGAGTATGTCTGCACGGTCTTTATATAAAAGTTCTATTCCACCAGCACAAAAATCTGAAATAATGACCCGAAAGAAAAATAGACTCGAGGGACTTACTAGTAATTTAGTTTCTAAAATTAATCCAAGCGCGGCTACTAAAGTTTTGGATACTTTACTAAATAACAACATACGCAAATCCATAGAATCCCGTATACTGGAAAAGGAAAAGTCAAATACAGATACAAGTAGTAAAATATCTGAGGATAAAAGTAGAAACAAAGACACTGCTCAGGTTAACACTAGAGCTACAGTTATCAAATCTCCTGTTTCTAAAGGAAAAGTCCTTGAAACTAAAAAGTCTAAAGCCTCCGAACTTCAACCTGTATTAGAACAAACTGTAGTAGTTAATATTGATAAACCAACCGGTATATTTGAACCATCTATTGATTTAGAGGATCAAATCCCAAAATCATCTATTTGTGTAAACAATATTTTATCTGATGTGAATAAAATTAAGACGAAGTCAAAATCGACCGATAATAAGTCTACTAATTCATTATTAACGCCAATTGATACGGAAGGTGATATTCCATTAGCATTAATATCTGAAACACCTGATCCCATTCTAAGGCCTAAAAGAGGCGAATCAATTGCTTCGGTTTTGTCAGATAAAATACAAGAAACATCCGGTGGTCATAATTTAAGACAACCTAAAAGAAATTTAAGTAATGAAAATGATGATGGCGCCGATAACAAGAAGAAAAAGAAAGTAAACAATATTATAAGAGAAAGTAAATTAGTCCTTCCGACAAAAATGTTGATTCCTAAAATACAGGCAGAAAGACTATCAATTGTAGACGCAAACAAAAAAGTGTTTAAAGCTGAAACTAATGTACTTATGAAGAAACCAGATATAAATGAGAACGTCAACGATAGCAAAACTATTGATCCGTTAAAGAAAAAGACTAGACGCCGAAAGGCTATCAATAGAACAGGCTTCCCGAGCATTAAGAAGAAAAAGAAAAAAGTCGAACAAACTGGTACTTCTGATAGTCATTTCACATCTGAAGACACAGATAACAACTCAGCTTTTGAAAGAGTGCCAAAAGACGGTGAAGCTATGAGTAGTTTCTTACAACGGACTACAAATAAAAAACCCGAACTTAAAGTTGTATTAAATAAAGAGGAATGTCCGAAGCAAGGTCGATTGACAGTTGTGGCTCTTGAGAAATTACAGGGTAAAGAAATTGTAAGAGATAATAATAATAAAGTTACTAATAAGTCTGAAAATGTTGTCACTGGAAAAAAAAATAATAATTCGTCTATTTTGAGAGCACCAGCATTGCAGCTAAAGAGTAAGATGGAAAAAGAACTTAAAAACCATATAAATAAATGGGAAGTTCTCAGTGAAACAGATAGTATTCCATCTCTGGCCAGCTCTATTAGTAATGACCCAGAAGATAGTATTCCTTTGAGTTTATTAAATTTGAAGTCCGATAGACCGGGAAACCGTTTGGACAATCTTGAAAGACTGAAGCGTAAAACTAGGGCAATGTCTCCGTCACAAGAAATTGAAGAAATATTTTCAAAGAGGAAACTCGTTGAACGTAGCAATAAAGTTGTTCTAAGGCCCAAGTCCAGTTTAGCAATTTTATGTCCAAGTGAAAGAAGATTAACTAGAAGTTCGGATACCACTACAGAAGAAATAAAAGTGAAATCTAAGAAAACGGAAAATAAGAAGTTGAATATAGAGCCCCTAGGTGAAAAGTGTATAAAACCTGACAGTATAGCCACAAGAAGAAAGTCTCGATCTTGTCAAGCCAATAAGAAAGTGCGTGAAGTACATTCTAGCTCGCGCGATAGTTCTTTGGACACAGTCGTAAGTCGTAAAATGATTTCTAAATCACGCGAACCTTCAGTGGACACTCTTCGTGATCATGACGAAAATGATCCGCTGCCACTAAACGAGAAAGAGATAGATTTTGAAAAGAGTATAGATGTACTATCAAAGAGCATAATTTGTAAGAAACGAGTCGCTTCCTCTCGTGATGATAGTCCAGCTAGCAGCGTGGATAACAGAGATAAACCTGTAGTGTCTAAAAGAAATCCACGACTCAGGAAAAAGTTTTTGGTCGCAGGTTTATTCTCTGAATACTACAAGGAAGAGTAAGTATAATTTCAAGATTAAAATTCATATTGTTTCTTTTGCTAGATTGTAAGTCATGACCACTGATCTCTTTAGATACCGTTTTCAGGGAAATTTCTTTGGACATCTTTGGTCTTTAAATTATATAAAATCCTTAAAGTAAAATTTTACGATTTTCAGTTGTGATTTATGAGTTTGACAACTAAATGTCTAGCCTACTAATAATAGTAATCCGATTTCTTATATAATATTAATAATACAAGATAGTTTAGAACCTTGATAAAACATAATTATATAATAGTTACAATAGACTTAAAGTGAACATAATCTGTAAAAGAATGTTTATCACTTTTAGCCCAAAACCAGATGGAAAGGGAAAGAATTTGGTGACGCAAACGGAGTTTCCGCCTGGATTACTAGCACCGCCGCCTTACTGTGAACGTTGGGTCCGACGCAGACTGATACACTTCGCACTCCCTTATGATATATGGTGGCAGCAACATTATAATCAACCCGTACCATCTTGGAATTATAAGAAGATTCGTACGAGTAAGTATATATTGTTAACCATTTTTTTTACGATAAAACTTTGCAATATAATTAAATTGATAACCTTCCTTTTGAAATTGACTTCCTTATGTATAAATATATATTATATAGCTAGAAATACTACCTATTTTTCTAATCTACAACAAAGATCGTTGTAATGTTATTTATTTGTACTCATAAATATACTCTCAATATATGTACTCCCAAATATATGCAGTCAAAAAACACATAAAAAGGAATATTTTTGGTTGATACTAATAAAAGGTTATAATAATTTTGTTCTTGCTATGTTACAGATGTATATTACGATGTAAAGCCTTCTACAGAGGAGTGCGAGAGTGTCGCATGCAACTGTACTCCGTCGTCCGGTTGTAATGAAGACTGCATCAATAGATTAGTGTACTCTGAATGTTCACCACAGCTGTGTCCATGCGGGTGAGTATAATATGTTATGTTTATGTTAGATATTCCGTTTCATTTATTTCTCTGCTTACTTCTTCTAATGCAACGGATTTTAAGACAACAATGTAGTATACATATACTTTTCTATCTCCTTGCTCTATCGCTGTAGGCACAGAGAATGAATTCAAAATAAAGTATCTGTATACATTAATCTTTCACCCTATTGCTATCGATCGATTCGTTGTCGATATAATTGTTTGCTACTTGTTTAGGATGAAAGTTTTGTTAGGTTGCCTTAACGAATTTTTTTTAGTAAATTCTATTTTATCTTTTCTATCTTATACTTTGTTTTGGTTATGCACTGATTATTTTATTCGTGAGGATTAATCCTAGAATTTACTAAAAAAAAATTCGTAATACTTTATTAATTTTCTTCAGTGATAGGTGCAAGAACCAACGAATACAGAGGCATGAGTGGGCTTCAGGGTTGGAGAAATTCATGACTGAAAACAAAGGCTGGGGGGTACGGACGAAGCATAAGATCACATCCGGTGACTTCATATTGGAGTATGTGGGTGAAGTTGTTTCTGATAAGGAATTCAAGGTAATTTCAAAGATGATGAATATTATTTTTATTTTAATAAAATTATATTAAGTAGGAAGGTTTCAAGTGCTACAACGTGTGTGACTCCAACAAATTAGGCAACTGTAATTTTAATTTATTATTCTGTTATGGATATGGTGTATATAGTCAGCTACTGTATTTGTTATTTATACATAAAAATTATATCATTAATATTCTTTTTAATTAAAAAAAAAAGAGGAATCGTATAAGATTGAATTGTCTTTGTATCTGTTTGGTATTATAGCTCCTAAACGAATGGACTGGTTTTATGCGCATTTTGAGTGAAAGCGGACATGATAAATGATTAAAAACGGAATTGTTTACAGACATAAAAAACAGTGAAAATAATAAGATAAAGTGACGCTTACTTCTACTGCGTCACACTTATATTTCACCCAATTTACAAAACATGGCACTTATATATTTTTTAATTTTAGCCTATATGTTATTCTGATGTATAAGCTCTTGTATCACTATAAAGTTTCATCAAATACGTTTAGTAGTTTTTGCGTGAAAAACATACATTCATTCATACTCACAAAGTTTTTGCGTTTATAATATTACTAAATTCCTGTTTAATAATAATTGATTAATAAAACATAATATCTAATTCAATTAAATAATAATACATAATATCTAATTTCTCAATAATTGGTCACTAGAGAACGCCCGTTAAGAACTTGTGCTAAGTCACTTTTATTTTGTAGTAAATAAAAAAAACAATATTACTAATATGTATTGATATCGGTACGGTGGGTAGGAGCGCATGGCGACACGTTATGCGCGAGACACTCACCACTACTGCCTGCACCTCGACGGTGGGCTCGTCATCGACGGACACCGTGTCGGTGGTGACGGACGCTTCGTGAACCACTCCTGCAGGCCGAACTGCGAAATGCAGAAGTGGACCTCCAACGGTAAGTGTTTTCCTGACTAATGTATAATAACTAGCTCTAAGGCGTAATATAATATAATATAATTCTACAGTAAAAAAACTTGATATTAATATGCTAACAAGAGGCGGCTTTATCACTCAAATCAATCTCTTACCAACAATCTGGGAGATTGATGCTTTGTATTTATATCAGTACGTTTCTACTTTAACCATGCTGGATTATATTAGGTAGGCATAAGGCAGTCACATTTTCCAACGTCAGCCATATCAGTACCTCTTTTATTTACATAAGTTTATGTGTAATAAGAAAGTTTCCAATCTTGATACTATTACATATATACAATATAAATATAAATGTAGTTAATCTATAATAAATACTCATATAGTCTCATGGTATATATGTTTAAGGGGGTCTTCCTATGTGATGGGTTGAAAAAATCAATTTTTTTTTTCATAAATTGCTCCCTTAACATGTCTAGAATACGGTAGTAAAGCGATTTTAGAAAATTCGAAGTCGTTTTAAAGATACAGCAGGTAAAAGAAAGAGCGGTTCGGAGCGGTGAGTTGGCAGTTAGAGACCGGGCCTATTGTGTACCGTCGGCTTTATACCTGGCCTCCCTTTTATTAATATATTTGTTTATACAAGTTTAGACACGTTTCTACAGACTTAAACAGAAATTTCTATTGTTATAATATTTTACCGAAGTTATCCAAGAAATTACAAAATTCTACGGATTAGCAATTCGACGCCATCCAGATTCGCTTGAAGATATGAGAAAGGAAGTTTGGGCAACGTACTATCACAAATGTTCTTCTGATGAAAACCCTCAGCATCAATTTTGTCCAGAAGGCGAAGACAGTTGGTGTAAATGGCGTAAGGCTGAAGCTAATAATGAACTGGACCAATTTCATCACGATAAACCACCTCTAATTCCGGTATCAAACCGGTTTTCGAAGATTTATCGAAAGACGAATTATTAATTCGTTGTTTAGGAGCAGAGACACAAAACAATAACGAATCTTTGAATTCTTTGATTTGGACTTTCGCTCCTAAACATCTTCATTCTGGTCCCAAAGTTGTTGAAATTGCTAGCTACTTAGCAGTTATTATCTTTAATGAAGGTTTTCAAGGTATTTTAAAAGTTATGTCGATTATGGGATGCCCTGTTGGTCGTGAAGCCCAAGCGTATGTTGAGAAACGGGATGAAAAGCGAATCTTACGCTCTGAGCGGCCCGTAAGTGATGTCGTTAAACAAGCCAGGATTGACTCAAGAGCTGAACAATCTGCTTTAAAAGAGTTTCACGAGGAAGAGGAAGGAATACTCTATGGACCAGGCATCGCCGATTGAGAGTAAGTTGATATTTTAATAGTTTTTAACGGACTTGAAACTTTAAACGCGTTTTTCTCAAAACTGTGTTTTTCAAACTTTCCTCCATTGTATCTCAGAAACGGCTGGACCGAATTACTTGAAATTTACAGGGCACACTCAATATATGTAAACGCATGGAATGAACTATTATCAATCGAAAATTTTCAAAACTTCGATTTTTTTTATATGCAAAAAACAAAAAAAAAACGCCTAATTTGCAACTTTTATTTCAAATGTCTATCAAAAATCCAATTTTTTTTATATTCATTTGATTATAGGTCATTCCGTGCTTTTAAGCCTACAAATTAAAACGCCGTTTTTTTTTTTTTTTAAGATAAACCGATCAGCCGGAATCGTGGAGGAAGTGGGAGCTCTTTTTTTCGAGGCGGGGGTGTTCAGAGCGCTGTAACTCTAGTTTGACTGAATATTTTTAGCTGAAATTTTATATTTATACTGTCCAAATATGTGTTAATAAATGATAAAAAACTTGAAGCTCTAAATATTTACTGGTCGTAGAAAAAAAAAATCCTAAAATATCCCTAAAAAACAGGCCGTCACATAGGAAGACCCCCAAGAAAGAGTGTTTTGGCTAAATACTATTATAGAAATTTTTAATGTTCGCACAAGGATCTTTTCAAGGAGAATTTGGTTTTACATCTTCTGAGGTCAATAGGTAGTGCAAAGATTGATGGCACATATTATATAGTAAAGAATTGAGATGAATGAAATGGTTAGAGTAAATTTGTGTCATCTGTTATTCCCCGAACCGATTGTACTTACTAATATATGCAATTTTATATATTCACTTAATCAATAAATTATACGTATACATAAATTCATCCAATAATTTCTAAACTTTAATGCGTATCCTTTTTCCTACACTCTTTAGGCAACTTTCTTATATAACAGTGTGTCAAATAAGTGCCAAAAGTAAAGCATTGTGTTCAGTATATCCAATTTTAGTTATAAGTTGATACCTGTCATATATGAAAATTAACATAATAAAAAATATCGTTACAATTTTAGGTACGTTTCGGATGGCATTATTCGCTCTTCGCGATATTGACCCTGGCGAGGAATTGACATATGACTACAACTTCTCTTTGTTCAATCCAGCTGTTGGTCAGGTAAGATAGTGTATTACGATACAGACTATGGTTGCGCCATAGTCTGTATCGTGATCGTAAACGTTACTCTGCAAGGGGGACTTTACATTAAGATACATTACTTACGTTTCTGTATAATTACAATTATGGATGTAATTGGTGTTAAATAAACCTTAGTTGTTTTTCACTGCTTATTAATTACTTTTATTAATTTGTAAGTATGTAAAAATGTATATAGCTCTGGTGACTAGTCATAATGACTACTATTACACTAATATCACAATGAAACGTTGATATGAATTATTGAATGTCAGCCTTTTAAATCATCAAGTTGATTTTATTTATTATTTATTTGTAAAACTCTCATCTTTATAATTATGATTTCGTTAAAATCTGTCTTCAATGGACTTATTTCGTGTTCGAGTAACAAGTAGTTGTACTCTATTTTTTATCTCTTACATCTTATTATAATCGAAAATACTAAACTGGCTAAGTAACATTTATTATTTTTAGCCATGTAAATGTGACTCCGAGGATTGTCGCGGTGTCATTGGTGGGAAGTCACAAAGAATAACGAAGCAACCTGTGAAGACGCAGTCGCGCACGCCGTCGAATACATCTACACAGTCGCACAGTTCCGGCGGGAACCCACCGCGCGTTGGCCGACCACGGAAGGCGGTCAAGTGTAATAAAAAGTCAGATCAACAAACAGTCACTGCGTGCGACATTAAGAATATGACCATACTCAAGTACCAGCAGCACTTAAACAAGTTGTGGCAGGAGCCGCAAATGAAACCTCTCACACAAAAAGAGAGGACTTTGGTGAAAGAACGACACTGCTTCTTGTTCAGGAATTTGGAGAATGTAAGCTGAAAAATCTCTTATAATAATTTATACTACATCGTCGTGTAATGTCAATTCCATTAATCATGTGATGTTTTTTTAGCATTTTTAAAACTTCCTATTTCCTACCCTTTGGTTATGTATGGTTTAAAACTTGCCCCCAACCTCAAATTACGTGTTATATAAGATTAGGTAACAAATACATGTGACATATTACTACACTCCTCTCCTCCCTTTCGAGCATAGCGTGTATAATTGACTATTCTAATTCTGGTGGCTGCAGTTGGCCACCTATTGTCCGGTATATCGATAGGGGGCGAGTGCAGATGACAAAACACAATGGACTTATGGAGTTGTTGAAGGCTAACTCTCGCCGAGTTTAGTATTAGGGTATCGTTAGGGGTTCGCACCTCGGCTCAACCTTCGCCTCCCGGGCCGTCGTAATGTCGATCCCGTTTGAATTGGACGGAGGATGGACCGGGACCCATTCGCACCCGGTTGTTTGCGTGATATGGTGTGGTTGAGATCGTCGTCTTCGCCGGCTAGGACGGTACAGTGTATGTGTGAAATCGTGGCAGGGGCGGAACAGGCGGACCTGACGTTCTGGGGGTCTTCGTGGCGTCGTTAATGATTATTAAATTTCCATAACAGGTGCGCCGTATACGAGACCGGTTATCGATCGCGATGCCTCCGTCCCCGCCGACGGCGTCCCCGGCGGCGGCGGCGGCCCCGGCGGCGGCGGCGTCGGGTGCGGGCGGTGGCGGCGCGGGCGGCGCAGGCGCGGTGATCGTGAACCCGCTGCGGGTGTCGGGCAGCAGCGAGCCGGCGGCGCTGGTGGCGCGGCTGCAGGCGGCGCGCGCGGCCCGCGCCCGCGCCGCCGCGGCCGCCCCGCCCGGCGCGGAGCTGCTCGCGCTGCCGCCGCCCGCCCGCAGGCGCGCCATGCTGCACGCGCTCTACGACGCACTCCGAGCGGCCAAAGGTCAGTCTTCTCTATGCAATCCGTTATATAACGACCTCGGTGGGCCAGCGGTTTTACTTGCGATTGTCGCGGGTTCGATTTCGGTACAAGCTAACGATAAGCGTTAGTCACGTCCAAAATAATTTGTTCATGTAGGACATTTTAGCCGCTTATGAACGTATTTTTTTTTGTTTGAATATTTTTTCCCTACTATCCAAAACATATACACATATACAGATTCAATTGATAAGAACTGGCAAGAATCTCGACTGAATTTCTTTTTTTTGTTAAGCCAGTTTATTTACATTGTGTACTTATGTATGTGTCTATGTCTAACATAAAATGAAAATTCCATACATGAAGTGCCATGTACGTTTCTCATTCAAGTAATTGTTTAGTATGTAATAAGCTTTGCTTAATAAATATGATTTGCCTGATGTTTTAAATGATTAGAGGTAATTCCAGTGTACACTGATATTCCAGTGTACAGTGATACACTGGAATTAATGATACACTGGATAATTTGGTATCTTATTGTAAATATTAATACCCATTCTCATAAAAAACGTATTCACTTTTTCTAAACAATACTTATTAATGTTTCTATGAAGAATATATTATATATAGAGGATCATTTCATTACATATTTGTATTGAGTAGCATATTGATATTTTTTTTCCAGACGACAAAGATAAACCCGTATGCACATCTCTCATGAAGCCAAAGGCTGATCGCAACAAGGCACAGGAGAGTGCAACAGCTCTGGACCTTCAGAGCATTGAGAACAATATCTCGGGTGGAGTGTACGAGTCACTGGCACAGTTCGACGCCGACATGATCGCGGCTCTCACGACATCCGCCTCTTCACCTTCCGCCGCTACTCAGCTCAAAAAGGTATGTTGGGTGTTTTTTATGGAGGATAATGTAATGGTACACTCGCCTACGCTATTATATTAATTATGATATGTGTTTATATTCATATATACACATATCATTATAATATATTAATTATAATTTTAAACATATTTTACATTGGTATATTTTTGTTTCACCTCAATAGAATAGAAAATCATTTATTTAAATAAACTTACATTGAAGCACTTTTGAATAGTCATTACATTTTTTAATCTACCGCTCGTTCGGAAAGCTGTTTCATCACAAGAAGAACGAGCAAGAAACTTGCGTGTTGCTCTTTTAAATAATTTTATTATTACTTTACATTTTTAAGTTTAAGTGTGTGAATACAAACCACCAATTAGCACTAATTCAATTAAATACTCAAATAGAAAAAATATTGAATATGTTATATATTCATTATATATTATTTATTCAACTGGTTAAACAATTAATAAGAGGAAATCAGTCATAGTGATTAGAGAATGAATTATTATATTTATATATATATTTATTTTCAGGTGTATAATTCGATTAAGTCGGATCATGCAGATCGATTGACAAAAGTACTTGGGCCCGATGAGCCTTTGCCACCTGGGTTTCTGCAGAAAATAAAGACTGGTTAGTAGTTCATAAAATAAAATTTATTTTATTGAATAATTTGTGATGATATGCTATTATGATGGGTACAAATAATTCAGTTAAATATACTGTACATAATACAGTAGTATTTATTCATGTGGGTATTTACTGTTAATTTAGCAGTTTTTATTAGAATTTTGATTAAATGACACCTAACACCTATATTTATTGGCAAATTGTATGAGCTTCTGAGAATTAATAGGGTTTTAATGCAAACTTATTTATCTGATTGTTTGTTGATTAAAAATCGATTTCGTAACAGTTATAGTTCCTGTTTTGTGGACTGATATTTTGTATATATCGTAATAAATGTGAGTTTCATATGCACCTATTAGTAGTTGCAAGCCCTGGTAAGTAGTCGGTAAAATTTGTAATTTATGGTATGTTTCAATCGACATAATACGCATTCAAAGTCTGTGATCTCTAGTAATTTTCTTCTAATTTATATATATTTATTTTTGTAATTTAACTAGTTAATACAATTCAACACAATGTAAATTGTTTTGAATAAATAAAATTAAATGGTGTGTAGTCGGTTGAAAGTTACAAATCGATGGTACGTTTGGATCAACAGAAGAGGTGATACTCTGCATCTGCGGCCTCCATGTGGAAGAAGGACTAATGGTACAATGCGGCGGCGGCTGCGGCGTGTGGCAACACGCGCGCTGCATGCGGCTCGCTGACACGTCCGCGCCGCACTACTGCCACCACTGCGCGCCGCAGGCCAGCCCGCCCGACAGGGAGATACCCCTCGACGACTACACCGACGACGGACATAGGTTCTATCTATCACTCATGCGCGGCGACCTGCAGGTACGTCCCCGAACTGCCCTTTTATTTTTTTTTAATTTATTATCAGGCTTTCCTTATTTTGTTAGTAATACAGTAATTTTTATTGTTAAAGTCAGAGTTTTCGTTGGGGATCGAATGGGCGATGTAACTTTGAATTGACGTACAATTTACGCCAAATTTTTAAATATTTATGTTTGCCTTATTCCAATTTACAATAAACGTATTTATTTTGAGCTAAAATGATTAAGTATGTAATTTAATTAGGTAATAGCCTACTTAAGAAATATAAACAATTGTTTATAAAAGTCAAAACCACATAAAATTGTGCTGTTTCAAGGTAATTTGGTCACATCACTACAAAAACAAACAGTTGACATAACCTACCCGTCGACCATGGGGTAGGGCATAGGAAAGTTATTGGCGTTGAAGATAAAATTAATGACTAATTATCGACTGTGATTAATATAGGCCTATATGTTTAGACCTATACTAATCACAGTCTATAATATTTTTATTAAGTCAAATTTACAATAACCTCTACAGGTTCGGCAAGGTGACACCGTCTATGTGTTAAGGGACATACCTATCGATGAAAAGCGACCGGATGTTAGTGACAAAATTGGAGAGAAAACAGAGTCGCCGAAAACAAAACGTCAGGATCGGAAGAAAGTGAAGAATATTGCTAAGGCTAAAGATAAAGCCATCGATTCTGCACAGAATAAGGTAAAGTAAATGTTACTATAATTATAGTATTATATTGTATTACTAGCTGTCCCGGCAAACGTTGTTTAGCCTTAAAATAAAAAATAAAAAATTTAGGGGTGGACTACCCCTAACATTTAGGGGGATGAAAAATAGATGTTGGCCGATTCTCAGACCTACTCAATAAGCGTATTGAGTAGGTCTGAGAATCATACTACAACATTTCAAAAACAAAATTTCATGAGAATCGGTCAAGCCCTTTCGGAGGAGTATGGGAACGAAAACTGTGACACGAGAATTTTATATATAAGATATAACTACTACTATATCAGCAACCCTTCCTCACAATATAATACCATATGACACTAACTTCGCTATCGCAGTGTCAGTCAACTGTTTAAATATTCTCAAAACCAGCATAGATTTATGATCATTATGATCATTATGATATTTCTTTTCTTAGCATTGTTATTACAATGTACAAAATTATTACAAAAAGAAATACATAAACAAAGTCCAAAACGTTATGGTTCATGACAGTTGTCATTACTCGTTTCAAAAGAAAAATTATTTAGTTTTATTTAAAAAATTACAGGTTTTATTTATGAAATAATGAATGACATTCACTGTGTGTGTATAATAACTGTTTCAACATTATAATAGTTTAGTATTATAATGCTCCATTTATAGTATAAAATAAATCCATCTTTAGATCTAATTCACCATAAAAACTGACTTACAGAGGTTTATCTTGAAACATTTATAGTATTTAGTAATTACTGAAACTTAATGATATTTTTTCTAAACATTTACACACATTATTCACATCATTAATTGTTAAAACATTATGTTAATTGAAGGAGGGCGAGGTCCGAAAGCATACGTATCAAACAATCGGCGAGATATCAGTGTCCGAACTAGACATCTTCCGCGTGGAACGGCTGTGGAAGCACAAGGACACTCAAGAGAGATTTGTCTATGGACATCATTATCTGCGACCGCACGAGACTTTCCACGAACCAACAAGGAAGTGAGTATATCACAACATTGTTTACTATTCAACAATGCAAAGAATGCAGTTCGTAATATAACAAATATAGTATGAATTTATTATAAAATATAAAAAAAAAATTGTGTATGATATAATAAAAATATTACAAACATTATTTTATTATTATTTTTTGTACACTTTGTCGCCTTGTCTAAATTACATATTTATACTGTTGTACTTAGAGACATTATTTTTTATCATACAGGTTCTTCCATAATGAAGTGATGCGCGTCCCTCTGTACGAGGCTGTCCCCATAGAGCTAGTAATGTCACAATGTTGGGTCATGGATTTGAATACTTATTGCAAGGTAAATAATTATATGTATAGCTTTATATACTAAAGTATCCTATATGTTAATTCCTCGATGTAATATGTAACAGAATTCATTAGAATCCATTCAATACCTTTTCTGTGTACGAGTAACAAGTATTTATCAATTCTCTCAAACTCGTAATTATGATATTTGTAGGATTTCAAATCAATTAGACTTGACAGTAAACAAAACAGGAAATAGTGATGATGATTATGACATTGACGTTGTTCTCTAGGGTCGTCCTGTGGGCGCGGCTGAGGAGCACGTATATATCTGCGAACTGCGGGTAGACCGGTCAGCGCGCCTCTTCACCAAGGTCTCGCGGCCCAAGTACCCCATCTGCACCAAAGCATACGCTTTCGACCACTTCCCGCAGCGGCTCAAAATAACCAGGACCTATGCGGTATGTTGATATATTATTATGTATTATCAATATTTATAAACAGCTAATTCACTCGTTCGTTTCCACTCGTTCTCGCTCCGTCGTCGTCATTGTCCGAAAAAAAAGTTCGTTTTAATTGTATGTAGGTCAATAAAAATTACCCATTATATTTTAATTTGGATCAAATTTCATAACACTTGCTTCTTTTTAGTATCGGAATAGCAAACAAGCTGATGGCCCATCTGATGTTTGGTGATAATCGTTGGTTATATATATATATATATATATATATATATATATATATATATAATTGTACACACATCACGTTATCACGTGGCGTTAGTGATACCACTTATGCTTTACTGCTTTTGCACACTAACACGACCTCTTATATTGTAATTATTTAAGTAATTTCGGTCTGACAAACATTGCCGCGGGATTTATTTATATCAGGATATATTTAGTGTCTGTTTTCTAATTATTATTATTACTTTTCAGCCTCACGAAGTGTCACCGGAATATTTAAAGGGCAGGGCATCTAAGAGCGCTGCGCCTCCCGAAAAGACCAACAAAAATTCGAACAGCAAAGACAATAAAAAGAAGCCCTCTTCTGTTGTTGCACTACCAGATACACCTAAGGTAATAATTGCAATTTATATAAAATGATTAAATTATTTAGTATATGCCGCCAGTTGTTATAGTAATCAAGCAAATTACAAGTGTTGTAAACAGATAATGGCGTATACTTATTTTTAATATTAATCCTTTAAAAATAACAACTGTGCTTATTTTTTGTCTCCGTCATACCCGCGGCATTAGTGGAATATGTGGTACAGTCGAGGATGTGTATAATTAGCAGATGGAGTGTGTGGAAGAGGAACAAGAGTTACAATAATATCAGACCATAAAAAAATATATTGGATGTTGGATGTTGTTGCCGTACAAAGCGTTTTAGACGATTCTTCAAAGTGCGGCTAAGGCAATGTGCTAACTGGTGGGGTGTCGTAGTAATAAGTTTTAGGATACAATGCTACTGACACATACATAGTTTGTGTAAAAGTCTCTAAATATTAAAAGAATTGGATCCTTTGCGTTGCCGTACCTTCATAATTACATTGTACGTTACTATACAGCACTGTGGCGTACCGGCACCTGCACCTCCGGCGGCTACGCCTGCAGCTCGCCGCGAGCAGCAGAAGGAGCGCGTGAACAACATCGCCCGCCGGCTGCTGTCGCGGGGCGGCTCGCGCCTGGCTCTCGACGCCTCGTACCTGCTGGCGCCGCGCCGCCCGCGCGCGCGCGTCTCTTGACCCGCCTGCGTCTGCTGTCCGACCCGCCAGCCTCAGTAGCCGCCACCGACGCCGCGCTCTACATACACAACATCGCCCGCCGGCTGCTGTCGCGGGGCGGCTCGCGCCTGGCTCTCGACGCCTCGTACCTGCTGGCGCCGCGCCGCCCGCGCGCGCGCGTCTCTTGACCCGCCTGCGTCTGCTGTCCGACCCGCCAGCCTCAGTAGCCGCCACCGACGCCGCGCTCTACATACACAACATCGCCCGCCGGCTGCTGTCGCGGGGCGGCTCGCGCCTGGCTCTCGACGCCTCGTACCTGCTGGCGCCGCGCCGCCCGCGCGCGCGCGTCTCTTGACCCGCCTGCGTCTGCTGTCCGACCCGCCAGCCTCAGTAGCCGCCACCGACGCCGCGCTCTACATACAGTACACAGTGGTAACTTTCAGCCGGTGCTCGTTCTCGAAATTTTGCTGTTGCATCAAAACACGAAGATATAAGGAATACTGTCGATTTCACCGATTAAATCGTTAGAGTGGTGATGTTCACAATATTTTACGATTTCCTGTTTTTGTTGACTTTACCCGTTTTCAGATGTGCTAGTGCTGAAGTACGCTCTGTAGCTATCACCGAAACGTCTGCACACTAATACATAGTGTGAAGTGTAATCGGTATTCTGCTGTGGACGTCTGAAAATCTATGTAGTGACAAAATTATTAATAAAAACCGGTTATAAATAATAATTTTTATTGTGTACATAACGCGCATTCAATTTATAGTTTTAGGGGATCTGCAGAATGCACCCATTAATGGCACTTTATATGTAAGTAATCTTACAATTTCTGGCAACTGTATTATAAAAATGGCTGTTGTAACCAATAAATTGTAAATTATTTCAGCTCCTCAAGACTGTTGTATATTTATAGTAGCAGTAGTGTCTGTTGATCAGCAAATTGTATGGCATTGATGTGAACTTTGTGTTCATTCCATACATGCCTATGATTTAATAAACTCTCAGTGTAATATTTTCCTTTTTTAATTATTTTATAATTATTGTGTTTACAATTATGGACCTGTAACTAAACAACAGTTATCAACAATTTAACCTCTGATTATGATGATATGGTTAATAAATGTTTCTTAATATAGATTTGGGGAAGTTTCCACTATCAATATCTTAATAATTCTACTTGTACTAGTGAAACTGGACTCGTCTCCCTTAATTTTGTTATGATTATGTCTTAAATTACTAATAATTTATTTTGTAGTTAAATGAATGTGGAGTCTTATTAAATGTATCATAATCCTACTTAAATACTGGGACGATAGATAAATTATCCATACATAAGTATTGTATATTATTCAGTCAATTTATTCCATGTCAATGTTAGATAGTACTATAGAAAAGTAAATATTTATGAAACTACAAAAAATAAATAACACGCCGCTTGTATATATATCGTGTCTTCAAAGGTAATTAAATAGTTTCATGTATTTAACTATAAATAAAGAAAATGTACTTTAACAACACAATCATAACAATATCAATACATTGAGCTCTCGGCTATAATATTATAGTTTCCTCAATATGCCCGCCCTATGATTTTGTGGATTTTATGGTTTATAAAATGGTTTAAGTATGACATACTTGTCATCTACTGCGTTTTCACATACATTTTCTTTTTGTCTAACCCTATTATACCATCACAATAAAATGTATGTATTGTGCTATGGTAAATTTAAAACTGTTGATAGGAATTCTTTAATTCCTGGTTAGAATATCCCAATTCTATAAAAATAAAAAAATTTCAGCAACTATTCAAATATTGTTATAAAAAATAATAAATCGTAAAAGTATAGGTAAATTTGAAGTTTGTATATAATATTAAAAATATGTTGTGTACTTTATGTGACGTCTACCATAGAATCGAAAACAATGTGAATCTGTTGTCATTATAAAATTACCTTTTATGTCCTGATTTTGTTCAATGTTATTACATTAAACATTTATAATGTAATATATACATTCCCCTAAAACTTGTGTGACAATAAAAAATAGGTAGGCCTCTATCGGGTCATGGTCGGATGAGATGGTAAACATTACTTTGTTCAGATGGAATCTCATGTTTCTTGTGTATATATAAATAATTATGACTTTGATTTAGTATAGTAATATTACAAAATAGAATATGAAATACGTACATAACTGCAAAGGTCAACTGAAATTATATTTTTTTATAATATTTAAAACTGTAATTAGTCCGCTTCCGTTTTGATTGTTCTATTTTAGTATGTATTTATTTATAACTTTCGGTGCGACCGAAACTTGTAAATCATGTCTACAATTTAATCTCAAGTATATTTTACTCCTATAAGTATTTACTTTTGTATGCTTGTAGCTGCATAATGTATTTAAGATGCAGCATAATCGTGTTATTTATAGCGTAGTGTATAAATAGTTATATATTTTTCCATAAGATATGTGAATATTTGTTATTAAACAGTGTATTGTATGTAAACTAAATTAATTCATAGTTAACGACCACTGGTGCGAACTGCTGTTGAATGTTGAAGAGTTTTAATAGAGGTTTAGAGAGGAGTTGTTTGGGAGGTTGTTACTATAATATTTAGTGGTTAATTATTATTCTTTTATTTATATATTCCACTAGGGTTAGTACCAAGGAATAAAATTTACTTTTGAACTCTGGTCATATATAATATACACTAGATGTGTTGGACTTTTTTTTGTCATGCACTAAAATCTCTCTAATTTTTTATAATTAAGTTTATCTTGTACATATATTAGTGTATAAGGTGGTTGGTTGTTTTATTATAAATCGAATGATAATATATTGCTTACTGTATGTTCGGTTATACTCGATGAAGTGTCTCTGCTTTGTTTATCTTAGTCATTGTGCGTCACGCAAATTTCTCTTGCTGCTAGCCTTGATTATTATTGTGATTACAGAGAACAAAGTTGTTTTTGTTTCTAATTTATTTGTAAATTACTGTTAATATTTTCTTACTTTTTACCTTAGTTTTTTTTCTCTATACTTTTGTAACTTTAAGTGATATTTTCACATTTGCACGCTTTTTGTGTTATAATCGATTATGAAATGGAAGTAATTAAGGCAATTGATCCCAAAATGTAGTGCAAAGTCCCTTCACCTAATATTTGTCTAATTACACCCCAGAATAACTAAATGTGAAATAGTTCAGTCAACCAAGGATACTCTAATGTTAATACTATAAGTAGTTAGACAGTTTATTATAGCTAGATTAATTACAGCGCACACGTAGTTCTCGGAAATATTGTTGACAGTATAGTATCGTGGCACAACAGAGAGATTTAATCTATTTATCAATGATCAATGTTGTTTTTGCTCTTATTTGCACATCCAAATATAATAGACAATTGCCTTGTAGAAAATGAATTCATAATAATACAACTTTTACGTGTTAACAGTATAATAGAGAAAATAATACATTAATGTACTTAATTAGATGGAAATAGTTTCAATAGTCAATTAATTATAATAGTATAAGATGACACATTCTTCACCGCTTAATGTGTGATTTTAATAAATAAGAAATCAGTATACATACCTTTTTTTTTAATATGGTTAATTATTTTGGGATCAAAAAGTATTAATTGATTGGATCAAAATTATATTCTTCTGTAAGGTTTGATCTACTTGAACCTTTTATAGTGACAGGGTGAAAGTGTTGTGCCTTGTGGATGCTCTTTATAATGATAAGCTAATTATATCACTTGTAAATTTACCCGCTTATGAATTGTTCTATACTGAACTAAAGTTTTATATTTTTAATAATTTATTACAAGGATTGAGAAGGCTTATCATTTAGAGGGTTCAAGTTGATTTGACCATGACTATGCTATAGTAGTACCTATTATTTGAAATACCTGTTACGATGTATTATTCGGTATAATGAGCAGCTTTATAATTTATGTGTATTTGTTTAAGATGCCATTTGTTGTAACTCATGTTTTAATATTAAAATTAAAAATTTTGGATCAATATGCATTTATTATTTAATTTAAAAATATTTATAAAACCACTTGGATACTTTGCTAAGTAATTCCCACTTGATTAGATAACATAGTAAGTATATATCTTATTTTAAACTGTGGTTATAACCTTTCGCAACTGCAATTGTTGAATAGTTCATATAACAAAGTATTTCAAATAAATGACCACTACCGGTGGTACTTTATTAACTTAAATTATCTCCCGGTGGTAAACTGTGCATTTTGTTATTAATGTATAGTTTTATTTTTTTAAATAAGTATTGGAATTGCGTTGCGTAGTGTGCAATACTGCTCCATTGATACACCGCCACTCCCGGTGTTCATTTTTGTTTTAAATACTTTGTTTATTGCTATTTAAAAGTAAAACTCAGAATACATATTATATTAGTATTTATTATTATATTAGCGGTGGACAATTATAACACTAATTCATTTTGATGTACGTAATCAAAATAAATTTCATCATTAATATTTTTATGTAATTGTAATGGCAAACTAGCAGACGGCTCACTGATGGTAAGCGGTAACAGTCGCCTATAAACACATTACGTAATCATGTGGCATTCGTGCGTTTCCATTTCAGAGGACTAATGAATGAATCTTCTAAATTCACTGCACTGCACTACAGAAGACTGCATAAAACAGCAGACAGTTTACAAAGCTAACTGTTTCGCGTTTGAAATAGGTGAGACTAAGGTACTCACGACGACGACTAGTCTACCTGTAGTGATTAGTAATCGAAGTATAGTAGAGAAGATGACAAAGGAAACAGTTGTACTTCAGAATCCGTAAGGTTTTGCTCTATGTGTGTATTTATAGATACGCAACTTGACAAACCAATTTGTTTTATCGCCAATGAACCCTACTTGGTGAACAATGGATTGACATTGACCTTAAATAACAATTTACGTTATAGGTACACGAATTGTCCTGGGGTTGTGACGCGACGGCCCCATTGCCTGCGGTCATTCGCGATGAGAAGATTATGCCCAGCGTCCGCTCGCCCGCATGCCACCGCGTGT